CAGCGTGACAGCACATAAACGGTGTATTCACGGTGAATTCACGCAAACGGTGAATTCACGGTGAATTTACCGTAAACTTAAGGCCGCAAGGGTACTCATAACTCATACATGTGGTATAAAATTTTGGCTAAAAGCATTAGAAATTATTGATAAAAACTAAAAAAACTTATAACACTTACTTACAATGCCGATAAATATCCTAAACTTAGCTGCGCTTTTCTTTTTTTAGATTTTATTGACTTTTCGTCTTTTTAAGACTATTTAGCCAGTTTATGATATTTATTTTTGTTTAATAAACAACTACAACACCCAAGGCTGTGACCGGGAATCGACGTACTGATATTTTCTACTTATAAAAAAAATTGAAAATTGATCAATATACAGGGAAAAACAAAAAGACTCCTTGTAAAATTCTGAGCATAATTCATATAACAAACCATATACCCAAATTCAACCGTTTCTAAAATATTCGCATTTGAAATCTTGTTATTAAATGTTTTTTTAAACTGTTAGAAATCAAGAAGCATCAGTATACCAAAATTTGTATTGACAATACAATTCATTATAATTAGAACCAATAAAATGCCAGTATTTTTTATCTACTCCTATTGCATAATTTTGGTGTTTTTCCGTGAATATTGTTAAGCATTATAAATTTCCTGCCTAACAACGTGAATAATAAACTCAGTATTCACGTTGTTAGGCCGATTTCAGTATTCACTGTGATTTGAACCAATCGAGTTTTAAATTGGAAGAAGGCGACTATAATAACATTTAAAATTGGTAAAAAGTAAGGTTAACCATTTGACAGATGTCAGATTTTATTTATTTAATTTTGAAAATCATTTAATTATCTACTTATTGGAGTAGATAAAGTATAGTATTACACTCGAGATTATGCGCAATATTCACTCGGATGATTTAGGTCTCTCGTCTGGCGACTCGAGACGTAAACCTCATCCTCGTGAATATTAGCCTGCATTATCTCTCGTATAATAATATACTATTATCACCTTGTTTACACGTTGCTAAGGATTTTGGCACTTTTCTTGATTTGACATTTGTTGACATTTAAATACTGTGTTTGTTAAATGATTAAAATAATGAATTATAAACTCTAAAAGATCGATGGGTTGGTGTAAACGATAATAAAATAAAGGTTTATTAAAGTCTTTTTATAATTTAAAGCACATTTTAAATAATTTCAAATGTGAAACTGATAATTCGTTAAATCCTAAAATTCATTATATTTTCTCACTAAATATAACTCGTGGTATGATTAATTACACTGTGCTTGAATCGGATACTTTTTTTTTCTAACAAAAATGGCTTCTGGGTGGTTAATGTATTTGGGGCATGCTAAATTCAGTGGTGAAATCCGTTTTTCTAAGTTAGGTCATTTTTTCGAGATATTTAAATTTAAAGATTTGACATATATGCATAAGAGTACATAAAATTGCTATGGGGGGAATTCGATCAAATATCCATTAGGGTGTTTCATTTAAACCGAAAATTTTTTTTTTCTTGCTGACACATGAAAATTTTGTTTTTTAGGTTGAAAAAAAAATTCCCTGAAAATTTGAGCCCTTAACTTTTATTTTAAGTACTTCCTTTTTAATTTTGTAGTTTTACCATATAAAAAGCATGTATTTTTAATCATTTTTACTTTAAATTTCTATATTTTATCTGGGTTTTGAATTATAATTTTTATCACCATAATTTCCTGCATACTATTCACGGTTTTTGAAAGGCCCTGCATCAATTTTGTTTTTGATTTATTTAAGTTGATTGTAGTAGCTCCAAAAGTCGTTTTTTCACTTTTTCTCACATATTTTTGAGAAAATAGAGCGAATGACTGGTTTTACCGAAAAATTTCAAATAAAAAAGTTGTAGGATATTTAATTTTTGACAAAAAAGGTTCTTACGTTCATATCACTAAAGTGCTTTGTTTAAGAGATATAAGCAATTCAATAATCAAAAACAAAGAAAAAATAGGTTGTATTGAAATTTATGTAATTTGATTAAACAACTATATATTGCTTATATCTCCTAAACAAAGCACTTTAGTGATATGAACGTGAAAACCTTTTTTGTCAAAAATTAAATTTTCTACAACTTTTTTATTTGAACTTTTTCGGTAAAACCAGTCATTCGCTCGATTTTCTCAAAAATATGTGAAAAGAGTGAAAAAACGACTTTTGGAGCTACTACAATCAACGTAAATAAATCAAAAACAAAATCGATGCAGGGCCTTTCAAAAACCGTGAATACTATGCAGAAAATTATAGTGATAAAAATTATAATTCAAAACCCGGCCAAAATATAGAAATTTAAAGTAAAAATGATTAAAAATACATGCTTTTTATATGGAAAAACTACAAAATTAAAAAGGAAGTACTTAGAATCAAAATTAAGGGCTCAAATTTTAAGGGAATTTTTTTTTTCAACCTAAAAACCAAAATTTTTATGTGTCAGCAAGAAAAAAAAATTTTTCGTTTTAAATGAAACACCCTAATATCCATTTTTCTTTTAAATATACACTGTATAAGACTTTTTTATGATTTTTCGATTTTTTTTAATAAATAACATTTTTTCCCACCTTAAAACAGTTTTTATTTAATTATATTTTTTTAACATTTTATTTAAATACATTTAAAACAGTTTTAATGTTCAAATTGTTATTTAGGCAAAATAATACGAAAATTAGGGGAACTGAGCAAAACTATATTTTTTTAAAATAAAATATGACATCTATATTTTATTCTATTTTTGTAAAATATGAATATACGATTAAATTGCACCAACGTTAGTTCAATAAAAGATTAACATTTAAGCGAATTGGAGCACTTAACGTCAAATGTTTAACATAAAATATTTCGAAAAAATGACCTAACTTTAAAAAATGGATTTCACCACTGAATTCAGAACACCCCAAATATGTTAAATACCCAGGTCCCATTTTTGTTAGATTTTTCAACTAGCACAGTGTTATCGATGATATTTACTCATTGAAACCGAAGCAGCACATTTCACTCGTCCTACGGACTCGTTAAATCTGCAGCTCGGTTTCATTTCGAAAATATCGTCGATGATAATCATACCACTTGTTATATTATGGGTGAAAATAAATTACTATAGTATTACTATGTCAATATGTCTTGTTAAATAAGTAAAAATGGCGTACTTAGACAGAGAAAGACAAACTATTTCAACTTATTATCTTAAAAATAATTTAAATATTTGAGAAACGGTTGAATTTAGGTATATGGTATGTTATATGAAATATGCTTAGAATTTTACAAGCAATCGAAAAATAAATACATATATAGGTTGATCCATTGAAAAAAAATAAACTTTTTGTTTTTCCCTGTATACTAAACAATTTTCCAACTTCCTTTAAAAGTAGAAAAAAAATATTTTTTAGTACCTACATAAGCACACTTTTAAATTTTTTGGTACACTTAAAATAAAAAAGTTGAAGGGGGGCGACATTATAGGGGATCAGGCCTGTACCTCCAGGCCCGTGCGCAAGGGAGGTTTTGGGTGTTATAAATATACCTACCTATATTTTTTATGAGTTTCATAAATCTCGTGAAGCTAAAAATGGTCAACATTGACCCCCTTTCCCTTTCTTGTGACGATGTGAAGATTATTGAATTATCGAACCCGCTACCCCTAACGTATTTTTTCCGATTCTTTTTTTTAGTCGATCTGACAAAAAATGGAACGAATTTTATTTGATTTTTTGTCACCTGACGTTTTAAAAAGACCTTCCCCCTCCAGCTTTACGAGATTTATGGACGGCCCTAAATTTGATAGCCCCCCAGGAAGAAATCCTGCGCACGGCTCGGGTACTGCCACCTGAATGGAACAAGTAAAGTGAATATTTTTCTCTTTCTTCTTAATAAAATTCTAAAATCTAAGCAGGCGTGGATAGGGGGACCAATGAGTGCAATTACCTCCCCCCATAACTCACCTATTTGTTTTTATTTGAAATTTTTTTAAGACAAATAAACACAGCCTTATGTAAAAATCTAAGAGTCTAAGCATTCGCGGATACAGGGGGATCAATGGGTGCAATTGCCCCCCCCTAACTCACCTAGTTGTTTTTATTTTAAATTTTTTTGAAGGCAGACACAGCATTATGCAAATCCAAGTATAACATGGATAACAAACTAAAGTTTTACAAAATTTTTGTTTAGAACGCATTTTCTGGATGATACTCGTATGTAAAATCACACAAAAATCTACCCACTCTTACTAATGTTTATTTTACTAAAAATTGTACCAAAATTATGTAAAAATTCATTTTTGACCCTTTTATGATCTTATGAAACACAAACAAGTATAAACCAGGCCCGTGCACACGGGGGGTTTTGGGTGTTCAGGAGGGTTTTAAATTAGAATTTTTACTTAAGATACTGAAAAATAACCTAAAAATATATATTTTTTATAAAAATGTTTAATATAGTGAATTTTTAAAACTATAGACAATTTTATGTGACAAAAAATAAATACGTTACATTTTTAAAATATGTATTTAAAATTTATTATTTCGTAAAAAAAGTTTTATGTGAAATTGTAAGTGGTGAAATTTTTTTAAGTCGTTTGGTGTTGTATTTTTATATATTTTTTGGGCCAGTCTAGATGTCCATTTGGCCAATCTGACATAGCGGCCCACCGGGATCTGTCCCGGCGTCCCGCCGGAGCCCATCCGCCCCTGCATGATGTGCAATGTAATCTGTGTTATAGCTTTTTAACTTTATTTTTTTACTTAGGTACTAAATTATAAACAATATGCCATTTGATTTTAATTGTTATAATTCTTAAAATATTTACATAATATGTATATTACATGCATTATAATCTTTCAATTGATAACAGATTTATTAAATTATTCTACTAAATATGAAATCAATGAATTAACTAGGAATAAAAATCTTTGTTTTGCAAGAAATAATATTGGTATTAGGCTTTAATTTAAAGCCTTTAAAATGAGCTTGTAATCAATATAAAATATACAAAGATTTTTATTTATTATAACAATATCCTAATCCGTAAAACTAAGTACAATGTACTCTAAAAATGCAAATAAGATACTGAAAAATTATTCATAATAGTATAATTATAAAGCAATGCCAAATAAATATTATTTACATATAATTGAGCAATAATTTATTTTCCTAAATACCTAAATAAAAAATGTCTTTTGACTTAGTTCAAATCACACCCGTTATTGTATCACTTTTTAATGCATTAGTTTCATTACTACATGTTTCCTATAGCTGGATCAAGGGTAACTTCTTGTGATTCATCAAAACTTCGTTTTTCTTTCTCGCCATGAGGAATTTCATTTTCAGACATATTTTCGCCGGAACTGTAGAAAAAGTAATAATAAGTATTTTATTTTTAAACGTATTATTTCTCTAAATACCGGTATTTGTTGTGTTTCGGTAGAAAGAGAGATTTAGGGCAATCTTTCATATATGGCCAACATTCAGCAGGCCCGCCCATTTTTCCACTGCCCGCATTTTCTGCTTCTACATATTCTTTTAACATGTAAGCATATGGCGATTTACTGGGACTGAAATATTAAATAAGAATTAATTTAAAAAAATATATACATTTCATGCCACTATTTCTTTTCTATTTTGGCCTGCTTAACTCGAAAATCAAAAAAATAATAATAAAATAATAAGATTTTAATAATAATAAGGTTTTTCTGTTCTTTTCAAGGCAGCTTCAAATATCAAAATTTCAATATTCAATATTCAAAAGTTCAATGGGCTCAAATATTGGAAAAAGGTAGTTTTTGGACAAAAATAAAACGCAACATTTTCTTTTTTGTCTTAGATAAATAAAAATCATCGAAATATGCCTATTTTTTAAATTATCCGCTTTTTTACAAAGAAAAGAAAAGTTGTTTTCGAAATGAATCTTAAGTATTAGGTATCAAAATTTTGACAGTTTGTTTACAAGAAGTAAAATTTAACTTTTTGTTTATTTTTGGACTATTACCTCATTTCATACCTTATTCATAGGTTATTACTAATATCCTTTTTTTATATCTAAATTTATTGTATACAGTGTTAAATGTTTTTTTCCAAAATATCATAAACATTTCCTCTGGCAACATTGCTATAACTTTGATAGTTCAATTTTCAAAAACTTATTTTGAAAAGTTGCGAAAACAGCTTTATAATGAAACAAAATTCAATTTAAAAATTGGAGATTTTGCTGAGAATTATTCATTTGTCCTTCATGAGGAGGTACAATCGTACCACTTGACTAACAGTCAGGCCATGGCCTGACGGGGTGCACCCTTCACCTGTTTGTGATTTATTTTAAAAACGAAAGTAATTAAATTACACATTTAAACTACGTTTTTGTTTCGGATTGCCTAATTCATAATACTGTCGTTTTTGATTTATTTTTAAGCCATTTAATCCCCGAATTAAAAAAAATCCTTAATCTTTTATTTCTCTGATGGGTACGCAGCACAATATAAAATAAAAAAAACTTTATTAATCTATGAGACATGACATGGAATGACAGAATTTGGAATTCAGGCAAAGTGGCATTTTTTTGCCAGGACGCATGGCAAGAGTGCCTGCGACGGTTTAGGGGGGTACAGTACACAGCAAACGGAAAATTATAGAGGTGTATAGGATGACGCCACGTTTGAATATCGTTTTCTAAATCTCCCTACGGTATAGAGTTGTATTCGTCAGTCGAGCGTTTCAATACTCTCCACAGTATAGAGGTCGTAATTTCACTTTTGAACTAGTATTAATATAACAATTATTTTATGCTTGAAAAAAACTATATACGACATTATTGTGATTTTTTTCATTTTATTAATTAATTAAGCTGTGTTGAATATTTTTCCTAAAGGAATAATTGCCAATGGGCCATTAATTCATTTGTTCGTAGATGCTACAATAACCTGCACTGGTGTGTACTTTTTCATCAACCAGATTTAAATATTACAAAACTAACATATACCAGTGGAGATAGTGCAGGGTCTACCAACAGACCTAATTACTAAATTATTAAAGTTTAATAGCATATCGATAATTTTTGAACATAACCTCTGAAATTTTTAATACAAATATAGGTACTTTATATAATACATAAATATACTTAACATCATATCCTCAGTGCTTTACATACCTGCGTTGTTACGGTAAATAAAAATCAGACAAAGGAACCAAAGAAAGGAACTATTTTCAACAAAATCATATGCAGAAATGAGAAAATTTAAACTACTTGCATCCATCAAAAGATCAAAACTTCTTGCAATATTACACCCTCTTTTTATACTCTCAGAAATATTGACTAGAACAGTATTAGAGAGACTCCAGTTTCTATAACTTGGTAGAGTAAAGAGAAGTCGAAACCGTTGCGATATTGCATTGCGCTGTTTTTGTATAATTCTCGGGGACATTAACGAAAATCATTGCCAGTAAAATTCGAAAAGCTTGAGTTTCTATGTCTCTGAGGAGAATAGGAATCCGAAGTTGCTGCACCATTGGACTGAACCCTTTTTTAATAATTTCTAGAGACATAAATGACTGCACCATTCGACAGGGTCGAGTTTCTACTCCTCTGTTGAATATAGAAAATCAAAATAATGTATCTTGTAAGACACCATTGAGTTTGACTTTAAATATAGTCGTGCATAGGTATAGAGCCGAAAAATATAAAAACAAAGCACGATTCAATACAGTTATGATAAAACTAAGATTTGATATTCAAACGCGGAGTCATCCTATACACTTCTATAATTTTTCGTTTGCTGTGTAAAAAGGTTGACCAGCAAAGCCAGCCTGCAACAAATTATGACCCCGGAACTGTATCAGGTTGCAACAGAGAACATTCCCGGAATCACTTTTAAGTTCTGTAATAGCGACAATTATTTTTTATTTTAAGAAAAGATTTGCTGAAGCGCAGACTGTCGCGGGGACAAAAATTCATGCTTTGATTCCAGTTTCAGAATAAAGAATAGTAACTAAACTTTTTTCTCTCAGCTTGGAACAACATATTCAAGACCTTGTCAAATGTGCTCAAACAACTAATTCTGAATTAAGGTTTATTAAATCTTGGTGGTTAGCTTTTACAATTGAAAATAATGAAGAGACTAAGTTGTTTTTTTATATCCGACTGGACCAGCAAATTATTTTTATTATCCAAAACCTAAGGCAAATATATTGATGATTCATAAAGATACAATATTGAGGAAAGTTTAGCCTGTTACTGGTACAGATTAAACTTATAACTTAACCAAAAAAGAAATGTTGGAACCTTCAAAAATTCTTAAAAAAGACAAAAACCTAACTAATTTCCATTTGTTAATTAGTTTCAAAAATTATAAAAAAATTAAGTTATTTTTATTTGTTTTTACACCTTATTTTTTCGTTGTAGTTTTAAGTTAATATATTCATAATAGGTATGTTCTATTTTTAAAATAAAATCGTTATTTTTGTTATGTAAGGATATTGTAAAAAAGATTAAATAATAATATTATTGTAATATTACAATTAATCCATCATTTCTCCATTCTAAATGTTGGCAAATAAGTAGCTAACAGGCTAACATTGATGAAAAAGATATACATTTTTAAAGAAAAAAATGGTGTTTTTGAAATTTACAAAAATTACCATTTTTTAAGACTAAGTATATAATGTGATACATCAACTGAATGGGCTTCCAAAGACCTTTAAAACAAGCTATTACTCAATGCTCTGTAACGAGCAGTTCCTGAGATATACCTGTTTTTTCAGGAGCCTGCAGAGGCAAATTGGTAAATTTCTTTATTTTCAAAAATCCATAAAAGAAAAACTACTGTTGAAAAAAAAACTATTTTTTTGTTTTTTTGAGTTTTTCAATGGGAAGAGCAACTGTACCAAAATTCATCAAAATCGAAGATGATGCCTTCAAAACCTTTGGTTGATTTGATATGAAATTACCCTATAGAGACATTTAAGTTAACTTTTTTTTTTGCCGAATTATGTAAAAATTTGTATTTGTTCTATTTTTTTAAATTAAATTTTGGTCATATACAAGGTGTCCCTAAACTTATTGGCATAAATTTAGGAAAAGATTGAACAAGTCAAAATGAGACGAAATTTTTTTTTTACGACCATTATGTAAAAGTCACATTTCATATTGGCATCATTGCTTAGAAAATGAATCTTTTCATTGGCAAGGCAAAACACGAATGTAAAGTGTGAAAAGTGACAGGTCTGTGTGAAAAGAAATTGACAGCATCGTTTGACATTCGTTTCAAATTTTGTATTGTATTTGTATATGTATGTCTAAATATCATTTAGAACACAATTAATTGTGTTTGTATAATAAATTCCAGTTGTTAGTGCCTTTATTCCTAATTACTATGTTTCCAAGAAACAGATCTCGAGTGATAAAGTGTTACTTATCATATCAGTTTTTTTAATATAACCTCTACCATGGTAGCATTGGAAAGGTGATATTTTGCGAACAGTCACTTACTACCAAAACACATACCTATTCACACATAATTATAATTGTTTGAGTGAACACAGTGTCGTAGAAACGGGGGATGCTTTAAGCTTATTGTCCCATACAAACTTTGAGGTTAGGTTTTTATGAAATTTAATGCAATTTTTCGATTACACAGTTCGGCTACCATTAAAAATGTGTACATCTTAAACTTCGATAAAATAAACCGTTTCCGAGATATTCGAGATTACAATATCGCATTATTTAAAAGGATTAATTTTATTTTTTACTTGAAAAAACTAAAAAGGGCATTCCATTAGCATCGGGACTTTCTGCCCTGACCGTCACATAAAAAAAATTGTAGTTTTTCAATTAAAAAATTTGTTATCATATGCCTTTTAGTCCTTTAATGTAAATCTGTAATTTAAATACGGCAGATATCTTTAAAACCTATGAAAGGCACACGGCATAGGGCAATAAATCTGTCAACAACAAATGCGTAAGGCAATTCCAATCGAAACCGAAAATAAACACTTTCGATTGGGATTGCATTACGCATTTGTTGTTGACAGATTTATTGCCCTATGCCGTGTGCCTTTCATAGGTTTTAAAGATATCTGCCGTATTTAAATTACAGATTTACATTAAAGGTGCACAGTAAAAAAAAGCCTAATAGGCAAACTCGAGATTTGTAAACATTAGACAACAGAATAATCGCGCTTGTAATTTGTTTAACTAATAAATAAATGCAATGCTTAATTTTGGAACTTAATAAAAAAAGACAAAACTCTACCACAAAACTATCTGACCAGGACACAGACAATGACAATAACGAACAAGACAAAGACCTCGACTAGGAAACTACACCCCTGCAGCGAAATAACAACTCCCCAACTCCAAATAGTAATCCCAAATGTTTGGAGTAATACTAATCGACTGGTCTAGGGGGATTCCGCGTCGTACTTAGTTTTAAGTCGGCGTAATTGTCCCCCAAAAACCAACACCCTCCCGTCCCTCCTCCATACCCCACTGAGCGTATAGCATAGGCTCGGCGAACCCGAGAATGGCTATTAAAACTATTCGCCTCTCGCTCTCGAGCCCCAAATAGGGAACAGTACGGAACGCAATGGACATTCGCACCCAGCAAACACGGGTGAAGCCGTGCAGTTGCTGGGGAAGAACAAAAATCGGCGTAAGTAAACATAGGCCTCTACGGGGTTCGAGAGTCAAGAGGAAATGGGGCTGGTTATACGTCTCTTATACTCACTCATACTCATACTCATATACCTTTTAGTCCTTTAATGCGATATAACAATTATTGTAATCTCGAATATCTCGGAAACGGTTTATTTTATCGAAGTTTGAGAGGTACACCTTTTTAATAGTAGCCGAACTGAGTAATCTAAAAATTGCATCAAATAGTATAAAAACCTAACCTCAAAGTTTGTATGGGACAATAAGCTTAAGCAACCCCTGTTTCTACGACACTGTGTTCACTCGAACAATTGTAATTAGGTGTGAATATGTGTTTTGGTAGTAAGTGACTGTTCGCAAAATATCACCTTTCCAAGTCTACCATAATAGAAGTTAGGTATATTAAAAAAACTGATATGGTAAGTAACACTTTATCACAGTGTATATTATTAGGAAAAATATTTATTTAGATTTTCGTCTTATTTAAACTTGCTTAATCTGCTCCTAAATTTATGCCACTAAGTTTAGGGACACCTTGTATATCTTATTCCTTGGATTAACATAAATGTTAATATGTCTCTGAAGATCCAATCATTGCATTCTTTTTAATCCTGAATATATAAACCCTGCTTAAAATGTCACTTAGAGACCCTGTTCAAACCGATAGATTTTTGTATCGGATTGTATAGTGTTTCTATAGGGTGTATCGGTATGAATAGGACCCATAGTTGGGATTTATGGTTGTTCTATAGGGATATCCTTTCTTGATTTATTTGCTATCGGTCTTAATAGGGAAAGTACACATGAATGTAGAAATGTAAAAAAGGATAACTTGGTGGTATATTAAACAAATATTAGAAATATTCCACATAATATTCCCCAAATATTTGTTTTAGTGTTGGGGAATATTTCTTATATTTGTTTATAAATGTAAAAGTTAGTTTTTCTCCCATAAGACCCCCAAGGTTTTAACAAAATTTTGTCAAATGTTTTATGGTTGCTCTATATGGATATCCCTATATACAGTAAAAACCACCAATATATGAACGTGACTCATCGGGTGCCGAACATATCTCAGACATGCTAGCAGTAATGTTTTACTTGTCTTGTGCATTCGATGCAGCGGTAAATGTACTCACACGTAGGTTTTTAAGCATCCGGTCTAAAATGCGCCATCTGTGATGTAAAACTGCCTAGATGTTCGACAAAGATGGACATATGACGCGTGTCCTAACTTGTTACTTAATTTTGTTGTAATTCAGTAGAGCTCGTGTTTTAGGGAATTTATTTTAGTTTATTACATAGTAAGGCAACCAACTCTACCATCGGCCATTTGTTTTTATATGTCATATGATCTTTGTTTTTGCATATCGTGTTTCTGCTGTGTGTTTACGGATTAATAATCGTTTTAAACGTTGTAGTGGCAGTGGTTTATATTATGTAACACAGGTAGATGTCGTATAAAAATCCTTACCAAGAAATTCTAGGCTAGAATACAAAAATATTTTTATTATATACCTAAATTTTGTACTAGTATTAGTTTAATACATTCTGAAGAAGCTACTGTGTACCGAAACAATTGTCAATATTTAATAAATTTCGTGAAACTAACGCAAGTTGTTTTTATATCTTTCACTTTGTACCTGACCTGCGTAAACATTTTTGTTTTTTTGTCACCAATTCTGAAATATTTGCGTTTACAGTTAAAAGAATAGTTTATTCTGTAACAAGTTTGGAATACGGCATATTCCGCTCGAGTGAAAAGTTTGTCACACGAGCCGAAGGCGAGTTTGACGGTTTCACGAGAGGGGAATATGCAATTCCAAACGTGTTTCAGACTATACTTTTTCTACGTTTCCAAAAAATACCATAGACAAAGAATTTAATTGGAAGAAAGTGAGGTTGGATCGGTCTAAAAATTTGTTAGATATTAAAAACAGATATGTCGCCACGAGTGAACATTCTGTCATCAGATGATAGAATATTTCATTAAAGTTAAAAGGAAAGTTTATTTATTAATTAGTTTCTAAGAAAATTACATTTTGTTTAATTATCGTAGATGTTAATTATAAAAATTTAACTTTAAAAGCAAATATATCAGAAGTATAGCAACCAACATTACACTCAAAATTTTTTTCAAATACCCGTTATACAGTACTGCACTGGACCGTGACCTTCGATAGATTACTTTGTACGATTGTGCCTGATGAGTCACGTTCATATATTCGTGGTTTCTACTGTATCCTTCCTTGAGTTATTTGCAATAGGTCTCAATAGGGGAAATGTAGAAGTTATGGTGTACCGATTTTTGTATATGCGTTTAGTCCTCAAGAGCAGCCATAAATGCTATTTCTGTAAAACTCTTTATTTTAGAAAAATTTTAAATTAGTTTTTATATGTAGTACCTAAATTTAATTTTAAATACCAAACAAATCAAATACCTATGTAATCAAAGTTCGGTTGTACTCGGTTTGGGAAGCATCGTGACATTTGTTGTTCTTTTTCTATGGTTGTTGTGTTTTTGTCACAGATCATAAAGGTTTTTGTGCCAAAATTTGTGGCTTTACTTCATTTTTATAGGTAATTTCATAGATAACAATAACAGTTATTTTTGTTTTATTATTATTTATTTTTATGTAATTACACTGTATTGTTACCACAAAACAGTTTTCCCAACTGGTAGGTATACCTACCTAAGCAATAGTTTTGTGTTTTTTATTTTTATAAAGGATATGGCAATGGCAGCGTATGGAAGGATAACATTGAAGCAGTCATATGTCACTGCCATGGCGAAGTGTGTAATAGTCTATTGGGTTTGTCCACGTCAAATCATTAATTTGAAATCAAACACAGTAATAAGAAAAGTTCACCATACCGACTCAGATTTTCCACAAATATCAATTTTTTTAAATTTCAAAAACACGTTAACTTTATTTTTATGACTAAATTATGATGATACTTATTAAAAAAAATCACCCCTTAAGGCTATAACCAACCCTATTTTTTTCAAATCCAGGTTTGTCAAGTAATCATTAATAAGCTCGTTTTATTATCATATTAAAATGCAGTTTGTAATTATTTTTTTTTGAACGTGAAATAAAAACCATTTTTATTGGAAATAAAGCCAATTGCGCTGCTTCTGCTGTATTTTAGCCATATTTTATGATTTTCATATTTACGATGTAAAAAATATTTCATAAAACTACACGCTATTTAAATTTATTTAGAACAAAAAACTTGTTTATATCCAACAGACTTTTTATATTTAACAGAAATAATTTATTTTAGATCTTGGTCAAGAAATGTTCCTTGACAACACCAAGATGATGCGAAGCTTAATGTACTATTAGCAATCCAAGAAAATCCTGTTACTTAAGCTTGCTCCCGAGAACGATTTGAGTCACACCACCGTATTGAAGTTAATACAAGGTTAAAAAATGTATCCATTTAAGATGCAAACAGTACTGGAACTAGCTGAGGATGATCCCGAACCAAGAATTAAATTTATGTAAATGCTATTTTCCGATGAAAGTACGTTTACTTTAAATGGTGAAGTTAATCGTCAAAATTGTATATATTGGAGTGATAGCAATCCTCATTGTATTAAAAAAAATCATACCCAGTATCCAGAAAAGGTAAATGTGTGGGCTAGCATAATTGGTAATAAAGTAATAGGTCCCGCTTTTTTAAACAAAAGTCTAAATAGCGAAATTTACTTAACTTTTCTTCAAGAAGATTTTGTACCATATTTGGCATTTTACAAACCAAGATGATCCAGACTTACCAGATATAGATTCTAGTTTCAGCAGGATGAAGCTCCACCGAACCAAGCATGCATTAACCGTTCGTCGATACCTAAATGCAGAGTATAAACCGAGATGGAGGGGGTAAGGCAAGGCAAGGACGAAGTTTCTCAGTGAGCCATAGACGATTTAATTTCAAACAAATGAAAAACGTCAGCACCCTGCTAAAAATGACGAATGATTGCGGATATAAATTCTTCGTCAAAACCGGATAAAAGTAGATAAAAGCGAGTAAAAACATCATTTAATAACATCTGCTTTTGTCCGCACCGCTATATCTGGTTGTGTTTTATATCCGGTTAGTGCACCCCCGCAATCATCTGCAATCATCTGTTTTCAACCGTCTCTACTGCGTTTCGTTTATATCTGCATTTGTCCGGGATCATCTGCAAATGTCTGATTTTATCCGCGATTGCCTGCATTTTGTTTTTCCATTTTTGTCGGGTTTCATTCGCTTACATCTGGTTTTATCCGCGCTTACTTGTATTTTTTAATCTGTTTTCATCTTGTTTAATCTTTTACCCGTAAACGTCTGCTTTTATCTGCAAACATATGCGTTCACCCGCGAACATCTGCTGCCATTCGTGAACGTTTGATTTTATCCGGTTTTACCCGCAAAGATCTGCTTTTATCCGCGAACAAATTCTTTTACCCGCGAACGTCTGATTTCATCCGGTTTCACCCGTAAACATATGGTTTTATCCACGAACGCCCGATTTCATCCGGTTAGTGCATCCCAGCAATCATCCGCAATCATCTTCATTTGACCGGCTCTACCGCGTTTCGTTTATATCTGCATTTGTCCGGGTTCATTGGTTAAAGCTTAGTAAATTTTACACAGCAGGTAAATTAAACTTAAGTATACCCAAGAAGACGTAAGTAAAACAAAAAGCGCGAATAAAACTGAAGTTTGCGGACGAAACAGGACCGAAATGGACAAAAAAAAATGCAGGCAAGAGGTTTGCAATTAAAACCAGATGTTTTGCGGGTTAAAGCAGATGTTTGCAGATTAAAGCAGACGTTCGCGGATGAAAGCAGATCTTTTCGGATAAAAGCAAATGTTTGCAGGTGAAATCGGATGAAGCAAACATTTCGGATTAAAGTAGATATTTGCGGATGAAAGCAGACGTTCGCGGATGAAAGCAGATGTTTGCAGATAAAAGCATATGTTTGCGGATTAAAACCGATTTTTGCGGATGAAAGCAGATCTTCGCGGATAGAAGCAGATGTTTGCAGGTGAAATCGCATGAAGCAGACTTTAGCGGATTAAAATAGATATTTGCAGATGAATGCAGACGTTCGCAGGTGAAACTGGACGAAAGCAGATGTTTGCGCAGTAAAACAGATTTATGCGGATTAAAGCAGACGTTTGCAGATTAAAGCAGATCTTCGCGGTAGAAGCATATGATTGCGGGTGATGTAGACGTTCGCAGGTGAACCGATCGAAAGCAGTAAAAAAAGCTTAGTAAAATTTGACACAGCAGGTAAATTAAACTTAAGTATACCCAAGAAGACGTAAGTAAAACAAAAAGCGCGAATAAAACCGGAAGTTTGCGAACGAAACAGGACCGAAATGGACAAAAAAATGCAGGCAAGAGGTTTGCAATTAAAAGCAGATGTTTGCAGATGTTTTGCGGGTTAAAGCAGATGTTTGCAGATTAAAGCAGACGTTCGCGGATAAATGCAGATCTTTGCGTATAAAAGCAGATGTTTTAAGGCGATATCGGATAAAGCAGACGTTCGCGGATGAAATCAAAAAGCAGGTTTTCAGGTGATACGGGACAACAGCCGATGATTGTGGATAAAAGCAGATGCTTGCAGGTAAAATCGCATGAAGTAGACGTTTGCAAATTAAAGCAGACGTTCGCGGATAAAAGTAGATTTTTGCGTATAAAAGCAGATGCTTGCAGGTGAAATCGCATGAAGTAGACGTTTGTGGAATAAAGAACATGTTTGCGGATGAAGGCAAACGTTCGGGGATGAGAGCGGATGTTTGCAATAAAACCGGATAAAATAAGATATGAAGATAAGATATGAAACCGGGCGTAAGCAGTGGGCCGAAAAACATAAAAAAAAATATATTTGAGATATTAATTTGGTGGTAGCAATAAAAAGTTGCCTTATGTAAAAAGTAATTTGTACAAAAAAATGTAGAGTACTAGCCCAATATCTAAGGGTCCCCCGGGGGCCCAAAATATTTTTTTTTTATGTTTTGACTGAGGTGTGAACAAAAAGTTACCTTATGTTAACAGTAATTCTAAAAAAAAATGAGCGTACTAGCCCAAGATTTAAGGGTACCCCAGAGGCCCAAAATATTTTTTTTAATACTTACTTTAATTGGGGTAACCACAAAAATTAACCTCATGTTAACAGTATGTTTAGAAAAAAATGGGCGTTCTAGCCCAATATTTAAGGGTGCCCTGGGAGGCCCAAATTTTCTTATTTATATTTTAATTAGGATAGCAACAAAAACTTACCAAAGGGTAGAAAAAGCAAATGTCTGTACCAGTCCAATAGTTTTTTTAAATATTTTATTAAGACCCTGGATTGCTACACTTATTTTCCAAACTTAATCTGCTACATGGGGTACAGTTGTACCCCAAATAAAAAATTAGATAATATCTTATTTTTTATTTGAGGTACAACTGTATTACATATGGCTTTAAAAAATACATGTTTACATAACACAAAAACAATATTAAATTTGGTTTTAAATATTTATTTTCTTTACAAAAATATTTTATTTTATTACTCGGCACAAGTTGGGCATATTTTCTTTTGGTGCCATTTCTTGCGTGTCCTTGAAAATAAAATTTTTTATAAACAACAAAATTTATGAAACTATAATAATAATTTTAATAATTTTGCAGAAATGTATACTTACATGGAAAAATAAGTTTTATTTATTTAATATTTTATGCTACACTGGGGTACACCCGTACATCTTATATCAAATATCTCTAAAATGAAAAATACACCGCAAGTTACCAATATCACACATGAACTGACACGACCGCAACTCCATCTATTTCCGATTGGCGGGATTTTTAAATAAGGCTGGGGTACAACTGTACCCCAAGTAGCATTCCAGGGTTAAGACGCCATTTGATGAAAAAAATTAGCAACTCTTGGCTTCATTGTATTAAATTTAAAAACATTTTGCGTTACTTTAAATTAATTAATTTGATAGTTTTTTTACTATTTAAATAATATTGAGCCTTGTTGTCATAGACCAGTAAAGATGTCTGTGCATCTAATTTTGCTCCTGAAAGAGGAGCCCCTTATGATGGTTTTTTATTAAAATCTCCAAAAATGTTCAAGATAGAAAAATTAAATTTTGAGAATTAATCAAACTCCCTGTTACATTCCATAAAATGTCACCTGCCCTGAATATTTTTTTTCAAACATGGCAGCCATGTTGCATGGCCCAAGCTGAATTTTTTTCTCTAGTTGTGATTTCATATTGTATGCCATATAAGGTAATTTTTAAATCGATTTTAAGCGAAAATTGTAAATATTTTCGAAGTTTAACAAGAAGACCTTTTTCCAAAATAAAATAATCTGGCATCAAATCCTGGAACAAGACAAATACATCTTACCCACCCTTCATAGAAAATTTGAAATTGTTATTATTAGATCTTATTGGCCATAAAAAAGTTGATCAATTCCCAAACTTTTACGTTTCTATCTTTAACGGTTTTGTAGATACTAAATAAAAACTTCTGGAGCTTCTCTTTCAGAGGCTCTAGCTTCCTTAGAAAGCTTTTCTTTACCTTTATTTATAGGATTTTTGTTCTTATTTTTGTACGTAGAATCTTCTGTTAAAGTTTGCACTCACCGCAAACTTTTAATGCAGCTTCTGTTACAAGCTTCACACACCTTTCCACCGCTTGCGTGTTACAGGGAAAATTTATCAAGATTTTTAACCCTAGAATTTGCTAAACCGACAAATGACATGAAATTCTAATTTAAAATTTTCTAAACATATTGTTTACACAAGGGTACTTTTTGTGGCTACCCCAATTTAAATATTAAAAAAAAGGTTGGGCCCCCGGGGCACCCTTAAATATTGGGCTAGTACGCTAATTTTTTTTCTACAATTATTGTTAACATAATGTAACTTTTTGTTACCACCCCAAACAAAATATAAAAAAAATATTATTTTGGGCCCCCAGGGGGACCCTTAAATATTGGGCCAGTACGATAAATTTTTTTCCACAAACTACTTTTGGCATAAGGCAACTTTTTTTTGGTACCCCTTAATTGAATTCAAAAAATATAACGCGGAAAATATCGGATAAAAACAGACGAAATCAGGTATTTGCAGATAAAACTGGGTGAAAGCAAATCCAAATACAGGTATTTGCGGTTGAAACCAGACGAAATCAGATATAGTACTAAATAGATAAAACCGGACGTTCGCGGATAATATGTATATCCGTAATTGCAGATGAAAACCGACATGCCAGGTAAAATCAGATATGTCGGATGAAAACAGATATAAATGGACATAAACTAGCTTTTTTTATCCGAAATCATCCAATATTACCCGTCTTTTTCAGCAGTGCAGTCATACTTGATTGTAATTTGCCCTTATCAGATTGGGTTTTTGCGAAATGAAGTGCAATGCTATGCAAACATAGGAAGTTTGTACTCCTGTCCCTGTCTTCGTGCCTAAATGAAATATTTTAACCGGTGGATTGGTAGAAGGGGTGCAATTGAGTGGTCAGCCCGATCTCCAGACCTTACCCTGTTGGAATATTTTTCTGTAAGGTTACCTTAAAAATAAAGTTTGTGACCAAACCAAATATTGAAGACCTTAAAGAGAGTATCCGACAGGAAACTCTTTTAATATCTCCATAAATGTTGGAAAATGTTAAAAATGATTTTTATTATCGTCTAGGATTTTGTCAAGAGACCTGAGAAGCTCATTTTAAACATCTTTTATATTAAACGCATGTTTATCATAAAATAAATGTATCAAAATAAAATAATTTAAAACTGTATATTTATATGATTTCCTAATAAAACAAGCTTTTAAATGATCACTTGACATCCCTTTACATTTAAAAAAAAAATTAGGGTTGTGGCACCCTTGAGGGGTGATTTCTTTTTATAAAAGTATGATAATAATTTACCCATGGAAAAATTAAAGGTGACGTGTTTTTAAAATTCAGAATTTATTTTAGTTAAGGTATTTATATTGTTTTATTACTTACGACAAAAACAGCCTCATCATTTCCCCTACGAGACCAAAGTTTGTAAGTGGATGCGCGTGAACTTCGCATATAGCCCTTAAAAGACACGCTTTTCCATCCATGCCGAAGTTTTCCAAAAATTCTTCAATTACCATATAGAGAAGAGCGCGCTCGCCACCGTGAAAAGCGTTCTCCAAAGAAGAACCTTTTGGAGGTGGTGAATATCTCTTTGTCCTGCGATGCTCCAAAATGCTGCCAATGTAGTCAGCAAGAAAACCGCCTGCGGCTCGACCCATTGAACGTGCCAAAAGAGGAGGTAAAACGCCGTAAGGGTTTTCGTTGTCGGTAAGGCCCAACTTATTGAAATCAACTAAAAATAAGTTACTTATAAATTATTTTGGCTTCTACACAATAAACTTGTATAGGAGGATCTTTAATAAAACAACATTTCCATAAAATTCCATTTGCACTCGTAAAAAAGTGGGTGGCGTAATTTAAACGTGGTCATACAATGACATACATACATAAATGGCTACAACCGACGAAACTGCTGGTGCTTTATGAACATGCCAGGCGCGTCCTATTTAATACTTCTACAGTGTATTATACACTATAATAATAGTATATAATGTATCAATGTATCAAGTTTGATAAACTCCATTTTAGTCACGAATTTTAATTAGGCCCGAGCGTCTAAAAAGTTTATAAACAAGTTGCATACTATTTTTTTTATACGACAGATATTATCTAAAAAATAATTTAAATTAAATATTTGTATAGAGCGAAATCTATACAAAAATAGAGGAACTAAATTGTTATTACGATTTCTAATTTGGGAATATGTTTTGACTGCTGTCAAAATTTTCTGTAAAAATCGAAATTTATCCGATATATGAGCAGTTTTTCACAGTAAAAGTAAAGAAAATGTTTCATGGATACTCCACGTAAATTTTTAATGCTTTATCGGCAATTACTAATTTACTTCCGGCAAAATAAAAAGGTCAGTGCAAAGATTGGCGTCAAGAAGCTTTTTAATATTTTTTTATTTTTGTATTGAGATAATAAAATAATTTTCACATTTTACAAAAAGGGCACTTAATTTTAACGATTGTTTGACATTTGACAACTGTAACTTAAAGCTAACTTCAGCCTTGACAGTTGTCAAATTTGACATTAATGTCATACATTTGTTAAAATAAAGTGCCATTCTTGTAAAATAATACTAAATGTGAAAATTATTTTATTATCGCAATACAAAAATACAAAAGCATTAAATAGTTTCTCAACGCCAATATTTGAAAAGTTTATATGAACATTGTACAGACTTTTTAATTTCGCCGGAAGTAAACTGGATATAACTTAAATTCGAGCTCGGACTTCACCGTGAAGTGCCCATAAAACATTTTCTTTACTTTCACTGTGAAAAACTGTTGTTAATCGATTTTCAAGGAATACATTTTGATTTATAACCTTTATAACACATAAAAATTTTACATTTGACGGTAACACAGATTCCCCCATTGTTTTATAGATGGCGCTCTACACAGAAAAAACGCTAGCATAGCATGAATGGGTGAGAAATTAAACCAATGGGATCTTGTAATCCGTAGGGGAAGGTGGGGGAATTTTGCGCGGTGGGTAATTTTACGCATAAATAATTCTTCCAGATATGAAGTAAATAATACATTTTTTGAATGTTGCAAACTTGGAAACGTTGCTTTGGGTATACGGGGACTAAAGTGTACCGCAATTAAGCTTGTAGCTTTTAGCTAGTGACCATGGTCACTAGCTAACTGTGATACATGTACGTTGATCTAAAAAATCCATGTCGTTTCCGCTACGAGTTAAGTTTAAATTTCTGTCCAATCGCTTAAATGTTTATAACACAACTTTAAATGATCTTTCCTCGTAATCTGGTGTATGTTTAAATTGTTCAGGTTAACTTTTGGAATGTTTTTTAGTATCACAATATTTTTCTTGCAATGGGGGTAATTTTACGCTGAAAAATTGGGGTAATTTTGCGCTGCAAAATTTGGCCAATATGGGAGCTTTTGGTACAGGAGCCTAGATTGTTTAGCATAAACAGTTCCATTTGGGCACACGCGGAGTGTAGCGAAAAAAACAACCCCTAAAACTACATATATGACAACTGCTGCATGTAGACCCTCTTATTTCTAATAACAAAAATTTTATTTTTAGTTATTTATTTTTGATTTTGTTTGTTTTGTTTGTTTCATAGAGAAAATAGTTTTGTTTTATTTTTATGTTCTAATATAATAATATTATAGAAATAAACGGTTTATTTAGATACCTACAAATCTTTCTCTATACAGCGCAAATTACCCTGATAGGTGGGTAATTTTGCGCAAATGCATTATTTAAAAAAATGTAGTTTTTGCATACCAAACAATTTTTTTTATAAATTGCGCATTATATACACATAGTAAACATAGTAGACTATCGCTGGTATTAATTGCAAAATTTCACATTTAAACTTAACAAAGATACTAAAGATTTTGCTTAGATGCGCAGAATTTCCCCACCTTCCCCTATTCCTGAATAACAGTTCCTATAATACCAATAGGTAGTTAGCACTTGGTTTAAAATCGTTTGCTGTTTTTATTTAAACATAGAAAAAAAGTATTTTTTAGTACCTACATAACCACACTTTTAAATTTTTTGGGGCACTTAAAATAAAAAAGTTAAAGGGGGCGACATTATAGGGGATCACCCTGTACAAGCAGCAGTGACGAAGGACACGAATTAATAATAATAAGGATGATGGCGCGCCGGGGAGAAGGGGACTCTAACTTTTAAAAATTATTTTTAGTAGGATAGAGACGTAGTACAAATTCAAAAAAAGGCAAAACGATTTATTAAAGTAATATAAACAAAATGCAAAAAAATTAACATAATTGCTTAACAATTTTTTTTATTATCGTATTAAAAAAAAGTGTCCTTTACTACATTCCGCCCCGCCTACGGGGCAGAATGGGGTTATCGGGCTTACACAATTCACAGTTCTGCATCGTCGTCACCACTCTCTATCCCTGCACACGAATTGTGAGCCCACTTTTGGCCCTGTGTGCATAAAATCCAACCCTCAAATGAAGCTGAAAATGGGTATATACAATACTGCCGTGCTTAATGAAAACGCCGTAACCAACAATTTTGAAATTTTTGTTTTACGGCATTTTCTACTAGAACAATTCATCCTGCGTCTATCCCCGGTACTCAAAAAACCGTATCTATATATATACGGTTTTTTGAGTACCGGGGATAGACGCAGGATGAATTGTTCTAGTAGAAAATGCCGTAAAACAAAAATCTCAAAATTGTTGGTTACGGCGTTTTCATTAAGCACGGCAGAATATATATATCGAAAAGTTATAAAAACTAAACACAATTTCACCACGTTTAGTATATTTTCCTATTCCTATATACATTTTTCGACGAGGACGACGATAACATTTTATTTTCCATATTTCTCTGCCATAAACCAAAAATTATATTTCTTATAACTGTTATATTTATTTTTTGTTCTTTACTGTGCCAAAAGTAAAGTTTGTCAAATGTCAGTAAATCACAAATCATAACCTTGCGTAACCAATGTCACTTTTTGCTACACAGAAAAAACGCTAGCATAGCTTGAATGGGTGAGCCATTAAACCAATGGGATCTTGTAATCCGTATTCCTGAATAACAGTTCCTATAATACCAATAGGTAGTTAGCACTTGGTTTATAATCGTTTGCTGTTTTTAAATTAACAACAAAAGTTATCGCTCCTAAATCTATTGATATTCATATTGATATTTATTTGTTAGAATGGTATTGCATTAAATACTAATTTGATTTATTTAATAACGTTACTATTGTATGTATACTATGTATACATTTAACGCAATAAATTCTTTGACATTTAGGCAAAATATTTCCCTATTTTGGTTTAATAGTAATTAATTGAGCAAATAACAATTTAGATTGCTTAAATTTTGATGCATTCAATGACAGCTCTGTTCTTGGTACTATGTTAGATTTTTTTCTGTGTATACAAATATTTGACTTAAATCATTTTAAGATAATAATAAGTATTTGTCGTAGAAAAGTATAGGATGCAACTCGTTTATAAACTTTTCTAGACACTTGCTCGTGCCCAAATTAAATTCGTGTCTAAAATGGCATTTATTAAACTTGATACGTAATATATTATTAACCATTAGATGGTTAACAATGGGTTGGAGCATGTGAAAGGAGGCCCAGGAAAGTAAAATTTATGGCTACGGTCAACGGGTTACCCACGTAACAGATCTGGAAAAAAGCAGGAATATCACCGGGATCTACTGCTTCACCACTGGAATTAAACGATGCTATATAATGTAGCCAAAAATTAAACTACGATAATTCATGATTGATGATAATTATTTGAAGTTTGTAAATTTGCTTTTTATTTCCTTGTATTTCCCAGATTTAACACCTAGCAAAGCTGGAAAAAGCGCTTATTGTACAAATTTGGAACCACCTTATTTTTCTGAGGTATAAAATTGTTGAAATAAATGTATTCATTTTTTAAGAAAATTGTGTTAAGAATACCCTATAGTTCTTTGTGATGCCTAGAACTTTTCTAATTATATATATTATACCTTGATTAGGAAATAGTAATAAACTCACAAAATAATGAATGTCAATACTTACTTGTAAATGGTAAACTAACGGTAAGATTGGAAAAGAATCCATCCGGAGGGTATCTTACAAAGGGTAGAGATAGAGATGGTGATATGACTAAAGTTGTTCCCGGTGGTAATGCTAACCTGCCATCAGCTGTTACCCATAAAATTCTTTTTTGTCTATATTTTACTTCATCCTTGCAATTTGTTAGCAAAATTAATAAACATATCAAGAGGGTAACATTAATTTTTATCTTTGGTATGTTCATCCTGAAACTAAAGAAAATTTTGTAATAGTTAAATATCTCTTTTGTGTTGTTGTTTTGAGCTAAACTGTTAACATCTTTGTTTGTTTTTATGGGCCATTTAAACATGGAACCTACTCGTACATTAAAGAAATAAGTTACTTTTTACTCTCAGAAAATATGGTGACTTATCTAAAATTAGTCAAACTTTTAAGTAGTAAAATATAAGTATTTAGAAGTAAAAAGGACTATTTTATTTGTAAACAATGCTGGTACCTACTGATTTAAATAGTAGAATTTCGAATATTTCATTTAAAGATAGTTTGGTTTATCGGCCGCAAAAATATTTATTTAAACAACTTTTACGAGAATCCATTAAATCAGACCTTTTATGTGCAGCTGCGAAATCCCCAGAAAATGTTGCGAAGAAAATGTATATGCCAATTGAACAGGCTTTGGCGTTAATAACAAATACCCAATTGTCAAAGCATCAATATGAAGCATTTAGAAATGCCGTAAAAGGTTTTGGACATGACATTTTACCATCATATTATTATAATGTTCTTAAAGTCAAAAAAGGGTGCTACCCAGAAATGGTAATTACTGAAAGATGTGTAGATTTGCAAAGTCATGTAGATCATGCCGCAAAGCGAATTTTGAATTGATATATCAATATATTGATATATCAATATATTGATATAGAAGATTCTACAGAGTTTTATTTAGTAAGTGGGGATGTGATTCTGCTTTCAGGCAATCTGATTAAAATCAAAAATATGTACAAGATGATAATCAGGAAACATCAGTTGCATCTACATGTTCTCCATGGTATCTTTACTACTTAGAACTAGCTAGAACAATGATTTGCCCTCATTTACGAAATGGTGTCGCCCTATCTATTTTGAATTTACAAAAGTTTTGGATGTTTACAATCAAATAACTAACGAAATCTTCCAGATAAAAAACAAAGAAGTAACTATACCCAGAAAAAGATACTCTGTACACGACATGAAATGTACCATGATTAATGGAAAGACAGCACAAATTATAACAAAAACTCCTTCTGATTCTACATGTTTTATATGTAAAGCAAATCCAACAGAGATGAACAATTTACAAAATGTCCGTTAGCCAACAAATGAAGAAGCTCTCCAATTTGGATTATCTTCTTTGCATGTCATTAAGTTTATGTTATACATATTACAGTTGCAGTTGCGTACAACTGCCCATTTAAAAAATGTAGAGCCACAAACAATCTGCAGAAATTAAGGAATCTGAGAAAAATGGAATTCAACAGTAATTTAGATAAAAAATGGGCTTTATAATAGACGTAGTTAAAACCGGCTTAGGTAATTCAACTGAAAACACACCAAGAAGATTTTTTCAAAATCCGGTTGGAGAAATAACTAAGGTCGATTTTAAATTAATAAACAGGTTTCAAACCATTCAATAATATTGGAATGTTTGCTCTACAAACAGCAAAGGTGTATGTAGAACTTTATCCATGGTACTACATGCCTGTAACAGCTCATACAATATTAGTACATGGAAAATATATCTAGTCAGGGTCCTTTTAGAGGAGGCACAAGAATCCCGAAATAAAGATTTAAACAAAATGTAGGTACGTGTGGCCAAGAAAAATAAACAGGACAGTAACAAATTAAGATATTTTATATATCATCTTACCCTGTTATAACATTTTTAAGGAAAAAAATATCATGTATAAAATACGAACATCGTAATGAAGTTAAGAAATTGTTAATTAAAAAAATATTATTAAAATTTTCCTTACACAGAAAATGTACACAATTCAGAAAGTTGGTTACAGTTATTTTTTTAATTAAATATTTAACCATCACATGGTTAACAATGAGTTGGAGCAGGTGAAAATGCGCCCAGGAATATAAAATTTATGACTACGGCCCACACAGAACACGCTATCCAATGGATATCCAATGGCTATCCCAATGTCCATATAACATCCATGCCTTTTACGATATCCATTGGATATCCAATGGATATCCATACTAGATGTTCAAAAAAAAACAAAAACATTAAAAATATTTTTTTCTTTTTTAAAATAGCCCCTTATAGGATAAATTTATGTAATGATTAATAAATATGATTTAAATCGTTATTAACCCAATTTCAACAAAGTATCTCTAATATATATCCAATGGATAACTAATGTATGTCCAAAGTATATCCACTGTACATCTAATGTATATCCACTGGATATCCACTGGATATCCAATGGATATCCATACTGGATGTTCAAAAAAAAACAAAAACATTAAAAATATTTTTTTTCTTTTTTAAAATAGCCCCTTATAGGATAAATTTATGTAATGATTAATAAATATGATTTAAATCGTTATTAACCCAATTTCAACAAAGTATCTCTAATATATATCCAATGGATAACTAATGTATGTCCAAAGTATATCCACTGTACATCTAATGTATATCCAATGGATATCCATACTGGATGTTCAAAAAAAAAAACAAAAACATTAAAAATATTTGTTTCTTTGTTAAAATAGCCCCTTATAGGATAAATTTATGTAATGATTAATAAATATGATTTAAATCGTTATTAACCCAATTTCAACAAAGTATCTCTAATATATATCCAATGGATAACTAATGTATGTCCAAAGTATATCCACTGTACATCTAATGTATATCCACTGGATATCCGGTGGATAACTGATATGGATATCTTGTATATATACTTGTATGTATACATGTGGGATTTTGTGATGGTTTAAACTAGCATATGTAAAAAAAACAACTTTACGGTAAATTGATTTTTTGCCAAGAGCTACGAATTTTTTAATTTTGAAATGTTCACTTTACCCAGATAATAATATTTATATATTAATAATATTATTTCTGTTAATAATATGACTATGACAGTCTGCAATACAATAAAAAATTACTTAAAAAAGTCCCTTTTGTTTATTATTGTATTTCATAGTACTACGCACGCGCTGAATTTAAGAATCTTCAGTGTTGCCGGTTATAAGCAAAATAACTAAACGAAATATATTTCCGTACTTTATTAAGTTTTAATAAATAAATTAAATAAATTTAAAATAATTATTCACCACATTTATGTCAAATAGGTATACTAATTAATTAAGTATTAAAGATTTAATAATATAACCGCCATTTTGATGAGCTTTCTGAAATTATTTAAACGTCTGACAACACTGCTGCCGAACACAGAAGATAAAGAAGCGTCCTTTTTCTATGGTAGCGTCCGTTAAATATGATGCCATGATTGTTAGGTACATCCAAAGGGTTTTCATGTTTATTTGCTTCATTCCAAAGATTGTAAAGGTTCATTCGCCATCATTGCTATTTATTATATGTTTGTCATAAAGTTTATTGCCAAGTTATTGTGTTTTGTGGTTATTTGTTTGAGGTCTCTAGTGGTAAGTGAATATTTTATTAATTTTCTAATCATAGTTATCATTTTAAATTGTATTGGTCTAAAACTAATACAATTTTAAAATAAATAGGTATATTTAAGTGCAATTTATAAACTTTCGGTTAGCATTGAAGGTAAAACATTAAAGGTGAATACATGCATGCATTTATATACCGTACCTTTATTTGCAAGCTATACATAGGCTCGAGGGTAACAAATGGGCTGATGGATTGGCCAAATTTTGGGGATCATAAGGAGACAGGTGAAATAGGCCCTAAATGATTAGGCTGATAAAAAGGCAAATGACAGCTGGGGGAGTGATGGCAAGTCAGAGACTTCACTTCTTTAGTTATATGTAGTTTTCTGTTCTATTTTATATTTTCATAAAAATAAATATTTAAATTAAAGAATAAGACTATTATTTTAAAACCCAATGTTATTTATTGAAAAGTAAATATCCATTGATTCACCATATCCAATACAGATGACAACCATATTGCATACAATACTATATCCACTGGGTATCCATTGGATATCCACACTATGTCCAGGAGGGTCGGACATTTATATATCCAATGGTTATCCATTGGATATCCATACAATCTCCATATTGAATACAGATTACAACCATATTGCATACAATACTATATCCACTGGGTATCCATTGGATATCCACACTATGTCCAGGAGGGTCGGACATTTATATATCCAATGGTTATCCATTGGATATCCCGGATATCCTATGTATATCCTGGATATCCATAAAAGAAATCCATTGGATATCCATTGGATGTAATTGTTCCGTGTGGGGGGTAATGGTGACCCACCCACGTTACGGGTGTGGTGCTATCTGGAAAAGTTAGGAATATCACTGGGACCTACTGCTACAACACTTCTTTATATTTAAAATAACTTTCATATCGCCCCGTAAAATGCTATCAAAATGAAATAAAGTTAATAATAATAATTTGTGTAATATTGATTAACAAGATTTTGTGTTGATGTAAACGATTTAATAATGGGAAATGAACCTGTATTAATAATTAGTAAATTATTAATTACCAAATTTCCACAATTAAATTGTGTGGCAAAATTTATTTTTAAGCAGATATTGGAAAACTTTATTAAAAATAGACAAACTATTTCAAATACAATATCAGATTGGTGCACTAAAAATTGAATTAATCTTACAACAGCCTTGATTGAGTTTGCTCATAAAAACAATAAATCGATTATTGTCAAAGTAAACTCCAAAGAGATATTTTTCACGATAACAAGAGAGGCTAGTCGCTGCTGTAAATACGTGCAAATGTCAAATTTTGGAGGGGATTACAATCTATACTTTCGTACGGTATTATTTTGTGGGGCCCCTGTCATCACATTTAAAAGATAATTGGATCATGTTGTGGTGTTTTTAAAAAACTTAGAGTTATAACCTTACCCATACTGTATGTTTATTAGGGTAGGCCGAAAACAAACTTGCCTTTAGAGTAGAAAAGTAAAATGCATACAAAAAAATATTGCTTTTAATCCCCACCTGATAAAGTGTATTTTTGGAGGAAAAGACGCCATATTAGTACAAAATACAATGCCTACTATGTCAGTTTTTAAGAGTAAATTTTTAAGAATTCATATTAGCGATTTTTTTTAAACAAAATCCAAGCACGGCACTGGATTCACCAACCCTTAAAACTACCCTTTACTAAAT